TTCAAGATTATTTCAGCAAAGTTCCAGCTCGAATGAAAGAGTTTTAATTTTGGAACGATTTTCGTCCAAGTGGCCCTTTAAAGCTGGACCAAAGAAGAGGGGATCATTTGCAGTATGAGACATCTATCTTTTACTTTCGAAATCCATATATTAAAAAAAAACATTTTAAAGTACATATACAGATATGGTCCCTCTGTTGCCATAGCACCAGCATATATTATATCATTACTTTAAGTTAATACTAATATTAGAAAATGAAACAGCTTTTTCTGTGCTGTTTCAGTTATATGGTTTGTGAAGAGTAACAAAAGCATGAAAGCATTGCGGAGAGAAGCTTTAGCAGTGGTAGTACAATCTTGTTCCCAAAGCACTTATTTTTTACTTTGCATGCTTGATGAAATAATATGTCAATCATGCACAGTAAGAAATAATGACTCTGGGAATAAAATAGGCCAAAGGCGTGCTTCTCACGCTTCTCGAGAGCTGTGGGTGCTTAAGTGCCATAATACTGAATCCTGAACAGAATACGTTGTTTAATTAAGAGAAAGGAGAAATACATTAAAGTTGTCAAGACAATGCTCTGTTTACTGATACAACACGGTTCTCAACCAATCAGGGTGTGCATAGCAAGGTAACTAGATAAAGGTTAAAAATATTAGGGCAAGGGTTTGCATTGGATTTCAATGCAAACCAGAGAAATCAAGTGCCTTTTAACTGATTTAAAAAGAACCTTGCCATATTTCTATCGTTTGATCTAGGGTTTGAAATTTCGATGGAAAACCAGTCCCAAGTTTTAAATTCAGCCCCACTTTCCCCTGTTAATATCAATGCCGCCCCCAACTTTAAATCAAGGTTAATCTAGGTTTTCCATCGAAATTCAAACCCTACATCAAAAAATAGAAATACAGCGCCGTTGGTCTTTAATATTACATAATATAAAGATATAGCACAATAACCAAGTTTAATAGGAGTCTGTAGACCAGGTTTATTAATATCAAATGTAAAATACATTTTAGGAAGATAATAAAATATTTATTTCAAATTCCATTTTTAAGTCTTTTTTTATTTTATTTATTTATGTCAGTGCCTGCTGTCATTTTGCATATTTACAAAGAAAGTTTTAAAAAATTATTTTAAAACTCTATTTACTACCTTAACATTACTATTAGCAGTTAGACACCAGTCTGATTCTTAAATACTGAAGTACACAAAATTATTGTATTGAGACATAATTTCCATAGTAGTGTAAAGGTGGGGGATCTTTTTCTATTACCCTATTTATTTTAAGTCTTACACAAACAAAAATGCAGCAGAGTCCTGGGAGTCCTGTTATCTCGTACCCCAGATATCTCAAACTTCCAATTATCTCAAACTTGAGGTGGCATTCTGTAGACTTGCCTCGCTATAATGTTTCAACCTTTATATCTTGAACCTCTGTTATTCTGCCTTTTTCCTGGTCTCCAGGATTTCAGATACTGAAACTCTGCCGTCAAGAGAATATGAACTAAGAGAAGGAATCCTACCTATATATCCTTGTAACCATCATGTGCACAGTTTGATGCTATTTTTAGCTTGGAGATATTTTGAGCGATGAACCTGATTGGTTGATTCCTTGAGGGTAGGTGGCTTCCAGTGTTGCAGTAAACAAAGCCTGTTTTTGTCGTGAACGTAGTGAAATATGGCGCTTTTCGTGTCCTAAAACGAGGCATCAAAGAGAAGCATGACCATCGTGCGGGCATGGTAACGAGTTAAAAATAGCATCAATGATTCTAAAAAAAGCAACAAAGTGTGCACATGATGGGGCACGGGGATTCCTTCTCTTAGTTCATTTTCTCTTGCTGCCGTACTACCTTGACTAAACTATTGTTGGTGGGCATCAATTAACAGCTTTTCATTCATTTTTCTTACATCCACAGTTTGGATTGTCATCGACATTATAATCTTGCTGTCAATTTAAATGATCATATGATTTGCATAAGTTGTTTAGCATCATATAAATAAATGTTTTCGGTTAACTGAGGGCTCTTGAGACCCTTCAACTGGTCTATCTAGACTTCCATCAGGCATTGTGACCTCATGACGACCATCAATGGGATTATAACCTTCTTTGGATGGATATAGACAATAGTGTTGTACCACAAATAATGTATCGAACATGATAGATATAGCCCCAAGGCCAAACTTTGTAAAATCACCAAAAATGGATTTCCAGTCATCTAAAAACATGGATAAAAATAATTATTAATAATAACTTAAATGATAAAGAATAGAGATAGGTTATACGTAAATGTAAAAATGGGGAGGAGACTAAATACTAAATTGAATTGAATCATAAACAATAATTAATCAATATTTACCATTGTTGTAAGCTAACAAAAACATCTGTAGAATACTAAATGAACCTCCAGTAAAATCAAGCAAAACATTCCCAATACTCCAGCCTGAGGTGCTTTGACGACGATAGTTCATTAGTGCCTACAACAAATAGTTAAATGGTAAAAGGAAAATCAATAATAATATACTGAATCCTAACATGAGGTCTGAATAGCAGAAACTCAATAATTGATTTTACAGTCAGGATAACTGCGGTTGATTTTACAGACATGTTTCAGGAGTTCATCTCTGACCCATCTTCAGTGTATAACAGTGATGCATTTTCTAAGCTTAAATATTCGAGGTAAGAACATATAACTGATACTAAAATATCAAATTGAGCCCCCTTCTGACCTTTATATATTTTTTGACGAGCCCCCCTTTTCTCTGTGAGTTTTATGGCAGATCCCTCCCCCAAGACTTTTATTATGAAGGATGATTTAATAGAGGATATGTTTACACTCTTACCTGTGGTATGTATTTAATAAGCGTTACTCCTATCTTTATATAAGAGAAGTAATACAGGTACGTCAACCAAGTAATCTTGTTAGTTAAGGTAACCACCAGGGCTATGGCTGCGAATAACCATGAACCAGCAACAAGTACCTTGCAAATATTGGACACTCTTTGACCTCCACGCTTTAAGAGAATTAAATTGAATATTTTTGTTTCATTTATCTACCATTTATAGTGTTTATATATTTAATGACACATAATTAAAAGATTGATTAGAAAAATAAAAGAAAGAGCAATTTTCTTTTCATCTCAATTTTTTTCTTTTCTGGTTATAAGCTCCAGCTTCCTCCCCAGTCATAGGCAAATCAAAAACTTCCAGGCACAGGGTTTAAATTTAACCTAGCATTTTATGCTGTTTTATGTACTTAAAATATTAATGTTAAATATGGATACTTACGTCATATATAAGGCACTGAAATATCGTCCCCAAGGTGACTGCAATAGCATGTAATGTAAAAACAACATCGTTTAGCTGAACAGGGTTTATTCCACCAGGGTGCTGCTTCTCATACTGATGCTGTTTAAAACACAAAAAGAACATACACAAAATTATCTGACTGATGTCTTCAAGGCTGTTGGGCTTATATTCCTGACAGATTACTGACCTCTACAGTTGGTATCCAGAACATTCCTATATTAAAAAGACCGTATGCAAGGAAACCAGTGATGTTATAAGCCAGGAAATCAAAATTCAAACCAACCACACTGAAAAAAATAGAATTGAAAGGAATTGAAAATCACTTGTCTTTACAAATCATAATGATCAAAAATCATTCTCAGTAGCATGCACAACCAAAACACCTTTTAAATTATTGTTGTCAACCAAAACCTTCTAAATAGATGGCTTGCACTAACAGGTCTTCAGACCCTAAATGCCTTTAAATGAGCAGTTTTGTCAAAATAAAAAAACGGAAATGAAAAGAGAGTAGTATAGGGAATGGGGGTTCCAGCGCAATCTCAACACGGGCAAGACCCGTGTCAAAAATCCACCTACGGACAATCCCCACTCCAAGTGTGGTTGGGGGCAACAGCGCAAATATGTTAGTCTATATATGGAGTGCGAAGAATGTAAAGAGTTTGCTTATG